CCCCAAAACCCCAAAACCCCAAAACCCCAAAATAATTTTACTTCATTGAAATTATTAAAAATCCAACTATGAAGAGGTAAGCTACAGTAGGGCTAAGGCTTAATCATGCTTAAAATAGGAAGGCTATTTCCAGACTTAATTTGTTAGCAAACCAGGTATCAGCTGCGACTCCGAAGTACGTCCAGAGCTGTCTAGAATGGTGCGGTTTTGACGAGTACCTAACCCCTGAAGAAATCAAGCACAGGAATTTTGTCAGGAAGACCCTTGAGGAAGAAGCTGCTCCTAAGATGGATAAATATATACATTCCACTGAGTTCCCATTTGAGCTAGTTGATGTAATCAAGAAGCTGAAGATCAATGGGACTATTAATAAAGGATATGGCTCAGCAGAGTTGTCTCCAATGATGATGGCTGCTGCCTATGTGGAGCTGTTTAGAGTTGACGCTAGCTTGGCAACTTTCTTCCTAGTCCATAACTCACTTGGAATAGATGCATTGTATCTAACTGCTTCCAAGAAGCAGTTAGATGAAATAATGCCCAAAGCTATGACCTTAGAAAAGATCCTCTGCTTTGGGTTAACAGAGAAGGATTATGGTAGCGATGCAACCAGCCTTGAGACCACTGTAACTAAAACCAAGGGAGGATACATCCTTAATGGCAACAAGAGATGGATTGGAAATGCAACCCATGCCGATTACGTTGTCTGCTGGGCTCAAGGAGCCTCTAAGAAAGGGATTGAAGGCTTTATTGTTGATCTCAAGAGCAAAGGAGTCACCACTGAAAAGATCGAAGGGAAGATGTCCCTTAGAGCAGTTCAAAATTGAAATATCTTCTTCGATAGTGTCTTTGTCCCAGAAAGCTGCAGGTTAGAAAAGACAGAGAATTTTGTCACTGGTGCTGGAAAAGTGCTGAAGCATTCCAGAGTCAATGTCTGCTGGGCTGCAGTAGGAATTGCAGTCGGTGCTTATGATTCATGTTTGAAATACGTATCTAATAGAAAACAATTTGGCAAAACTATTTCTTCCTTCCAACTCAGTCAGGAGAAGATTGGAAGAATGATGGGAAATATTAATGGAATGATTCACTATGCTGCAAGAATTACTCAATTGTACTACGACGGAAAAGCAACAATGGGTCAGATAGCTCTTTGCAAAGCTTGGTGTACCTTAAGAGGAAGAGAAGTCGTAGCCCTTGCTAGGGAACTTTGTGGAGGAAACGGAATAATCCTCGAAAACGGAGTTATGAAGCACTTCATAGATATGGAAGCTATCTATACCTACGAAGGATCCTATGATATTAACATTCTTGTTGCTGCAAGAGAGCTCACAGGTAAAGCTGCTTTTAAGTAAAAATTACGTCATATCATTTCTATAAATAAGGATAAATCAGGGGTTTTGGGGTTTTGGGGTTTTGGGGTTTTGGGG